ATTAAAAATAAATGTCAAATAGGAAGAAGTCTTTGAATGTTCTCACCACAAATAAATAATAAATGCATGAGATGCTGGATATACACACCACTCTAATTGGATCATTATACAACATAAATATACATCAAAACATCAAATTGTACTCCATAAATACATATAATTACAGTGTGTCAATTTAAAAAGTCAATTTAAATTTAAAAAATAATAAATGTCTAGAGGGTTGATGAATACATAAATTAGCTTGATTTAATCACTCCACATTGTTTACATATATCAAAACACCACATTTTACTCCATAATGCAATATAATCAGTTAATCAATTAAAAATAATATCAATAAAACAGTAAAAATAAATGGGGACATTGTAGCATGGCTTCTGCCTGACCATGGTGACAAAGCTGACACGCTGCAGTCTCCCCTGTTATTCTCATTCATGACATCCAGTACCCTTCTCCGAGTCCCCTCCCATGGCAGCGTGAGAGCTTTCTCTCTCTCTCTCTGTCTAATAAATCACTTTTCCACAAAACTCTTTGGGTCCATGATATTTATTCAAATGGCAAACTCACCATGCCTCCGGGGCCCCTTTCTCCATTCTTCTGGGTTAACAAGACTAAGAACTTCTTCGGAACTGGGTGCTGAGTATGCTCCCCCAGTTACATTACCAGGAGTTTTGGGCACTGCTATAAAGATACCTGCAAATGTGGAAGCAACATTGGAACTTGAGTAATGGGCAGAGGTTGAAACAGTTTGGAGGGCTCAAAAGAAGACAGGAAAAGGTGGGAAACTTTGGAACTTCCTAGAAACTTGTTGAATAGTTTTGACCAAAATGCTGATAGTGATATGGACAATGAAATCCAGGCTGAGATGGTCTCAGACAGAGATGAACTTATTGGCAACTGGAGCAAAGGTCACTCTTGCTGTACTTTGGCAAACAGACTAGCAGCATTTTGCCCCTGTCCTAGAGATATGTGGAACTTTGGACTTAAGAGAGATGGTTTGGGGCATCTGGTGGAAGAAATTTATAAGCAGCAAAGCATTTAAGATTGACCTGGGTGCTCTTAACAGCATATAGCCATATGCATTCACAGACATATGGATTGAAATTAAAATTTATGTTTAAAGAGGATTCAGAGCATAAAAGTTTGAACATTTGCAGCCTGGCCATGGTAGAAAAAATCTATTTTCTGGGGAGAAATTCAAGCTGCCTGCAGAAACTTGCATAAGTAGAGAAGACGAATGTTAATAGCCAAGACAATGAGGAAAATGTCTCCAAGGCATTTCATAGACCTTCATGGCAGCCCCTCCCATCTCAGGCCAAGAGGTCTAGGAGGAGAAAATGGTTTTGTGGGCTGGGCCCAGGGCCCTGCTTCTCTGTGTCGCCTTGGGACATGACACCCTGCCTCCCAGCTTTTCCAGCTATAGCTGTGGCTAGAAGAGACCAAAGTACAGCTCGGGACACAGCTTCAGAGTGTGGAAGCCCCAAGCCTTGGCAGATTTCATGTGGTGTTAGGTCCACAGATATGCAAAAACACAAGGCTTGAGGTTTCAGAACCTCCACCTAGATTTCAGAGGATGTATGAAAATGACTGTATGTCCAGGCAGAAGTCAGCCACAGGGGCAAAGCCCTCATAGAGAACCTCTACTAAGGCAGTGCAGAGGAGAAACGTGGAGTTGGAACCCCCCACACAGAGTCTCCACTGGAGCACTGCCTAGTGGAGAAACAAGAAATGCACCACCATCCTGTGGCCCCAGAATGGTAGAGCCACAGACAGCTTGCTCTGTGCACCTGAAAAAGCTGCGGGCAATCAATGCCAGCCCATGAAAGCAGCCATAGGGGCTGTACTGTATGGATACTCAGAGGCAGCACTGCCCAAGACCTTGAGAGGCGGCTTCTTGCATCAATGTTCCCTGGATTTGAACATGGAATCAAAGGAGATTATTTTGAAACTTTAAGGTTTAATGAGTACCTTGTTGGGTTTGGACTTACATGGGTCCTATAGCCCCTTCGTTTTGGCCAATTTTTCCCATTTGGAATAGAGGCATTTACCCAATGCTGTACCCTCATTGCATCTTGGCAGTAACTAACTTGCTTTTTATTTTTATATGCTCATAGGTGGAAGGGACTTGTCTCAGATGAGACTTTGGACTTAGACTTTTGGGTTAATGCTGGAATGAGTTAAGACCTTTGGGGACTGTTGGGAAGGCATGATCATGTTTTAAAATGTAAGAAGAACATGAGATTTGGGAGGGGCTGGAGTGGAATGATATGATTTGGCTCTGAGTCCCCACCCAAATCTCATCTCAAATTGTAATCCCATATGTCGAGGGAGGAGCCTGATGAGAGGTGATTGAATCATAAGGGCAGTTTCCCTCCCATGCTGTTTTCATGATAGTGAGTGAGTTCCCACAAGATCTGAAGGTTTAAGAGTGTGTGGCTGTTCCCTTCTCACTCCCTATCTCCTGCTCTACCACTGTGAAGATATGCATGCTTCCCCTTCATCTTCCATCAAGATTATAAGTTTCCTGAGGCCTCTCCAGCCATATGTAACTTCGAGGCAATTTTAAACCTCTTCTGTTCAGGTAGTTCTTTATAGCAGTGTGAAAATGGACTAATGCAACTACATATGTACCTGAATAATTGCTATATTCTGCATCTGTTCCTATCAGGTGAATTCTGAGATTAGGCACTGTGACTGGTTGATTTTATTTTGTTTTTTGTTCTTTTTTTCTATCACTGCATCACCAGTTCAGCAGAGTGTCTTCACAGGAGGTGCAAAATAAATATTTTTTAAATAAATCAATATTGGGACAGTTGAAAGAGACTGTTGTATGACTCTGCAATGGTACCAAGCCCCTGGCTGTTTTTTTTTTTTCCTCCATGTCTAAGACCATCAAGAAGTCTCTCCATCACAGGACAGATTCATTCAATTGGTCCTCCCTTGCCCACCTGATTGTGGAATGCCCAGCATCTTTGGTGGGAGAAGCTGGGGTGGGGGTGGGTGGCTATGCAGAAAGGGGTCTCATTGACTCATCTCTGCTTCACAGGCCAGCCATGTTGAATTAGGTCCTGAAACCTCTTGGTTGTTTTCATGGTCTTTTTCTACTTTGTGTCTCCAAGACTCATGCATTCATACTAACAGACATGTATCACAAAATCATATGAATGACACATTTTCAAATTATTTGATAAAAAAATCCGGTTTTGAAAGCTTATTTCTGGATACTTAGTGCCAATTACTCCCCTTTATGATAAACAACAATTATGAATGAGGCATTTACTAAAAACTTTTTATTAATTCCCATGATGTCCACATTTTCATTACTTCCTTTTCAAAATGAAATGATTGTTTCAGCACAATTCACACAAATCAACTGATATATTAATCCACACCAAAAGAAAAGACTCACATGAAAACAGTATGGTCTAAGATAGCGGGACTCACAAGAGCCACTCAGGCCTACCTCTCATTATCATGAGCATGAAATAGTGATCCTGGTACACAGAACAAAGCCCAGTAAGAGGGTTCCACACTTGTCTCCTGGTATCCCCCTCCCAAAAACCGTTTATCCAAAAATAATGTAGTTACGCAGATCCAGAGCTAACCAAAAGTTTGTAAACCACAATTCTAATTTAATAGTGAACAAATTTTCTAGTCACTAGGTTAGATGAAGAGTTATTAATAGCATGTAACCAGAATTTAAAGAAAAATATGTGAAAAGATCCTTTGATCATGTATCCAAATTAATAAAAGTCCATAAGAAACACTTACACACCATCTAAGATTTCTACCCTTTCTTTGTATCTCCTAATCATTACATTTTTTTAAGCCAACTATAACTAACTCTTCCTATCACATCTGTTGTTTGTTTATTTGCGACACTCTCACTCTGTCACCCAGGCTGGAGTTCAGTGGTGTGATCTTGGCTCACTGCAACCTCTGCCTTCCCAGGTTCAAGAGATTTCCTGCCTCAGCCTCCCAAATAGCTGGGATTACAGGCGCCTGCGACTGTGCCCAGCTAATTTTTTGTACTTTTAGTAGAGACAGGGTGTCATCATGTTAGCCAGGTTGGTCTTGATTTCCTGACCTTATAATCTGCCCTCCTAGGCCTCCCAAACTGCTGGGATTACAGCAGTAAGCCAACACACCTGGCCCACATCTGCTTCCATTTTTCTATGTTGCCATCTAATCTTTGTCCACATGCAAATATATTTTACCATTATAATTACAGTATATTCAATATTTTGTAAACTAAATCTTTCACTTAACAGTCTGAGTTTACCATTTTCATATTATGGAATCTTCTAAATTGTTTCTTATGGTTGCCCAATATCTCCTAATTTCCTTAAGCATAGCCTGAGTATTGAACATTTATGACACTTCCATTTTTTTCTGTTACGAAATGCAATTTTATATAGACTTTGTTTTCAGTCTTTTAAGTTGTTTCCTTGATATAGAGAAAATAAAGATCCAAGTATGTGAATATTTTTATGGCTCTTTCTGTATTTAATTATTTTACAAAAAGGTTGGGTTGATTCACATTGCTCTAGCAATATGTGAGTGGACCAGTTTTACTGACAGCATGCGATGATTTGCTTTTAGCTTTAATTTTTTATTAAAAGAGTTATCAGTTAGTATATCATTAGTAATTATAAGTAGGCTGAAGCATTGTTTTATGTTTATTCTCTATAAAATGTCTATTGTTTACATTCTTAAATCATTCCTCTATTTCCTTCTGTTTTTAAAAAGGTATTTTTAATTGGCTGCTTCAAACCCTGAAAATAAGTCTCTTAACCTGACCTAAATATGAAAGGCAATAGAAGCAAAATCAGCACAAACTTGCCCTGTTACCTTCAAGAACTTGGCTGTTACCAGGCCATATTAGCAGAAGAATAATTCCTCCCAGAGAAAAGCTGTCTGCTTGCCCTAGTCAGTCTTCAGAGTGAAGTAAGAAGAAAATGCACTACTGTGGATTTCAGGGCCACATTTCATTAGGAAGTTGTAAGTTTACTTTTATATCACTAAATAACATTTTCAACAAACACAGATGTTGGTCACTAATGATGAAACAGGTAAAATATAAGCATCCAATTAAGGAGTAGGGAAAACCTAAGCGGCTCATTAATTGCAAGAGTGACCTGACATACACTGTCCAGCAGACATACAGAGGAAACAAAGGTCATAATAATTCAGATCTTGCATTTTCCAAAGCATTGGGTGGGGACACTCCCCACATGTTACTTGACATCACAGAGAAGGGCAACTCCACGGAGCACCCAGTGTTCAGGGGTCTGGACCGTCCTGAGGTCCACAGCGGCAATGTAGTTCAAGTCCGTTCGAACTGGCTTCTTATAGATGGGACAGGAATAAAACCGAGGATCTCGTAAAGCTACAAAAAATCATAAAAAAGAACTTGGTGACTTTCTCACTTAAGAGCCCGAGGAGAGTACAGGGCAACGCTTCTGCATTCTGTAGGTAATTTCGAAGACAGATGGGTTTGGCAGAATGAGGGACATTCTTCCTGAGGTCAGGCAATCCCTGGGTGCGAGGCAGATGCTCCCACAGGGTGCCAGTAGCTGTGGCAAGACAGCCATATAGCCTCTGGTAGACCCCGCTGGCACCTTGCCCTGAAGCATGAACACATGCCCACATGCTTCCTCTCTCTCCTTTGCACCTGTCAACTCAACATTCCCCTCCATCTGTCCTCCTTCACCTCCCCACCAAACCTTGAGTACACACATGTATCACTTTTAATCAGATATCCAGCACCAGTAGTCACTACTTTATTATTTCAAAATCTTCAACCCTGCAGGCCGTAGTCTACATCACATTTTAAATCCCAGGACAAAGGGTGCCTTCCCGCCCCCAACTAAACCAGGTATTGTGAATTCTCCATATATGTAGAGAAATAAAATGGCTGGGAAGCAGAGAGCAATGGCCCAGTTCAGCTCCCTGAGATTCAATCTACCTTTCTGGAGTAGAAGAATAGATGAAGTTTCTAATATGACACTGCAGTGAAAGGCAATTTATGTATGTCTATCCTTCAGAGATCCTTTGTAATGCATCCATCTCCACCCACAGGCTCCCTTTCTCTTCAGCCTTGGAAACCCCATGCTCAGAGACAGGTCCAGGACTGTGGGGACTTAAACTTATACAATTCATGATGGACCTCTTTAAGAAAAAGAGTCAAATTTACAAATAAAAAAGTAGGCTTTGGAAGGAGCCGCTGTCTGTGAGCAGCCTAGGAATTGAAGCCTCATTAGTTTCTTAGGAAATCCACTCTGCCCACAGCAGTTTATCTGCGCATCTCATAACATGCATCTCAGAAAGTAGTATATTATTTTATATTCTCTTCCAGACTACAAATTTTTTGAGGACAAGAGTATGTCTACACCCATCTTTGTACTCTTCTGGGAAGTCAATATAAAAAAAGCCCTCGCTTAAATATTGAGGTGAAATCACATTTAAATAAGAAGATGCTCTGCTTTTGTCAATTAATGTCACAAACATGGGCACTGAAACATATCAGAGTTATTGAATTTATTTTTCAAAACTGACATGCTCAATAATTTACCTCTTCCAGAAAATTACAAAAGTAAGGCACTATCAGAAGCTAAGTCTCATTATTTGATCCAATAGAACTTTCAACCTGCTGTGCCCTGTGTTTTCACATATCCACTATAAATTTAATTAATTGTATTGGAAGAAGTGAAACATCTGAATATAATAATATTATACATGAAGTTTCAATATAAAATAAGTAATTCTAAAGCAGTGATTCTTAACCTGGTACAACTCTACCTATGGGGGACATTTGCCAATATCTGTAGAGATTTTTGGTTAACACAACTGTGGACTTGCAACTAGCATCTTTGTGGATAGAGGCCAGGGATGCAGCTAATATCCTACAATGCACAGGACAGTCCCCCAAAAACAAAGAGTTATCCAGACAAAAAATGGCAATAGTACCAAGACTGAGAAAACATCTTCTAAAACAACAAAGAAATGTTATATTATTTTAAAACTCTGTTTCCTTAATCTCATGAAATTAATAATTAGAAACAACCTAAAATAATGTGACACCTAATTTTTAAGTCTGGGAATAACTTTTCCAATTTCTATGATTATATTACAAATAATAATAATTAGTCAAATATATAGGAAAAATTCTGAACAAGTAAATGAATAACAATGAATCATGGAATGCAGTTAATATGAACTATTACTCACTGATATAGTTAAATCCTTTAATCCTAGAATCTTTAAACATGTAACAAATATATAATTCATTCTTCCTCCTGTGGCAAATTTGATTAACAACCATTTTATAAACCTTGAAGTAAACCTTTGGTGCCTTACATCTGAATCTCATGATAATTACAATAATTACAACTTGAGAAGTATTTGACTACTTGGATTTTAATACCAAAAGAAAAATGGAGGGAAAAAATAGCATTCTCGTCAATAAGCAGGTAAAAATAGTTTTCTGAAATATTTATCCAATTCTATTTATTTTTAATTGCCTCAGAGCTGAAGGTGCTCATGCCAAGTCACAGCGTGCAGCAAACTTCTGCACCAGGATTAGAAGCCACTTAAGATATAATGTCATGGTGAAAAACGCTGACAGATGCTAAACAACTACATAAACAGATGCTTTGAAACCATCCCCCTGCTTAGACAAATAACTTTGAAGACAAAAATAAGCATGCTAGGTAGGTAGAACAAATCAGCTAAATATGTTTAAAGCCTCTGGGTTCCAGAGGGAGGAAGACAGAGAAGAGGTTGTGCCAACTAGCGAGCTGTACACTTTAGGATCCTAAAGGTTTTAATAAATCACCTTGGGGGAATTTCATTTTCTGGCTATTTAACTTCCCTATCTATCCTACGTTTTTCATCTACATGTGAGTGTACGTTCCACATATTCCTTCTAGTATCCAAAATAACCATGGCATAGAAAGTCTCCATGGAACCTGTTAGTCATTCTTTTATTTAAACGCCCTTTTGCTAATAACATTTAAATGACTGGACAGTTCACTCTTAACATACAGTATTTCTTTCAATCCTTTAAAAAGCATGTGAGTTAAGCATGTAAACAATAGTAACAATTAAAAAAAAATGTGTTATATGCTTCCTATGTACATAACATTGTCAGTTTAACTCTTTCAACAATCCTATGCGAGGGGTACAACTATCTAATCATTTTACAGATTCAAAAACTGGAACATAAGGAGATGAGCTGTCCGAGATGGGAAAGCCATAGAGATAACTGAGAATGCAACCTGGTCAGAATGGACCCATGGCCTCTGTGCTTCATCTCTGCAGTACTGGGGATGTACTGTACTATGCATGTATACCTCTGTCTTTACAGAAACCCGTGAAAATGAAATGGAGAGAACTAGATACGTGAGTTCGATTTGTGGCATATTTGAGATGCCTCCAAAGCCACATGACTAATGACTAGGATGATAAAGCCAGGAGAACAACCCGAATATCCTGGCCCCTGGCTCACAGTCCTCTACAGTGAAAAGAGGCATGAGCATTTTTCAGTCTGTAGCATGAGGGAGGGAGGGGTGAGGAGGAGGAGCCTCATCCTCAGAGGGTTCTCCCTGTGCTCCCCACTGCCTACAGTCTACCTTAGCAGGTACCTGAGACAAATTAGCTCAGGACTTCGAAATGTAAGGGCGCTGTGCTGATTTTGAGTTTAGCCTTTATTTTCAAGTTTGATCCCGGGCATTAAGAGGACAACTAAACAGAATCTCAATTAGAAGACTAACCATGGGAATTCCCAGAGGTTCATATATACCCCACAACAGACAAATGTGATTCTGACACCAGCTTTGCCTGTCAGTAGCCAGGAATCATGGCTGTGTCTCCAAACCCAGTGTCTCCAAACCTTAACTTCTTTATCTGCAATATGGGGATGATAAATTTGACAGAGTTGTTGTAAAGATTAAATAAGTTAGCACATGTGAGTGGCTGGTATAGTATAATGCCTGGAATGGAGAAGGTGCCTAAGATAGAGATGCTATTTGACACTTTTTTATCTCTCTGTCTCCATACACACATACACAAGCACATGGACATATACACACATGCACACACACATACACACACACACACACACACACACACACATGCATCTACTTACACATGGACCTTTTCCTGAAGCAAATTCCCAGACTCATGTTTCCCATGACTGTAACAGTCTTCCAAGCTTATGAGCTGATGGTGGATTAAATTCTGTGGGCTCAGAAGCCAGGAGATCTCCACTCCTGGTCACCACATATGGCTATCCCCACCCCAGTCCCAAATCTGCACAATCTCAGGTCAGAATGGGTCAGAGGGTGTTCTTAAATACACTTTTTCCTTATCAGTAACTAACCCCTGAGACCCCTCTTGCACCTACTTAGTGACCAGTGGTACATAGAAGGCTTGCCTCGTCCGTTGCAAATGTTCCAATCACGTTTTTCCCAACATATCAGCTACAGCACTGAAGTTCGTTGAGAATTATCAATCTGCTCATATAATAAATCTGTGAAAACACATATCTTTCCTCTATCTGTCCTTTTGAGCTTCCTTTGTGAATAGAGGATTTAGACAGTGTGCGTGTGGCTTAACTCTCTTGGTGAATTTAGTACTATTTGAAATGACTTTTCCATGATTTTCTAGCAAGAAACATGATTTCTTTTTAAAGTCTGGGGGTGTATCACTTAATTTTTAGAGTTAAAATAAATATCTAGATTTCTTCTTGTTGAAAACAAACCAGTCCTATATATAAATTTTAATGATTATTTAAACTGAGAAATTTCCCTTCATATTAATGTAAAAACTATTAACTATAAGAATTCCAATTTTTAAATGCTGCACTTTGGTCATTAATGATGCTACATGCCCCTCTAAATCAATTAGAGCCCTGCTCAATTATCAAAATTGAGTAAAAATTAAAAGTATAGCATGAAAGAGTTAACAGAATATTAGTTTTCCATCACTAAAGAAACACCTCTTCCACAACAAAGCTATTTGGCAAACCAAGTTTCCACCAATGCGTACTGAAACGAAAAAAGGAATAAGAACTAAAGTTTTCTTTTAATATTTTGAAATTAGTCCCTTTTTCCTTTGCTTATTTTATTTTTTCCCTCACCTGCAGCTAATGAGCATCACCACTGGCTAATGCCCAGCAGGGTGGGTATAGTTCTTCTATACAAATCTATTCTTAAATCGTAAAGAATTGCCGGTATTATAAAATTATTACTTTATTACTACCATGCTGAGATGTTCAATGTCAAATTGCCATGAATTTTTATAGTTTAGTCACAAGCAATAAAAGGAACATGTAATTCAACTGGAAAAAGATTTTTCTTTCATTTTATAAGGGAAATATTTTTATAACATGTTGACTAGATGCAATGATATGATAAAGCAATTTTTCTAAAATACTATTTTTGGCTAAAAGAACACTTGATTAATACTTCTATAAAAAAAATTACTGTTCCAAGATGTCACATTACCCTAAGAACCAGTAAATACAAAGCCATAGGCAGTATGCTTGCCTCAGCCCAGGTAGACACATTTATTCTTTTAGATTCAGCTAATAAATATTGAACTACACCATTTACCAAGCAGTGTGCTGAGAACCATCGTATTCCAAATCTGATGCTCAACTCTGTCCTTCACAGGCTCCTCTTCCTTCATGCTTTAAACACTGGTCCCCTCCCAAGGTAATCTTTATTTCCTTCAACAAATCACACCCTCTCTAGCTTGTTGTCCTCAAAGCAAAAAATCATTTCTCTAGCAAACTTTTGTAAAGACTAAATGAGACATGGTGTGAAATCCACCCATAAAACATTCTCTGTAAATATCAGTTCCCTCTTCCAACTCCCCCATTTCCTCCTCTACCTGAAGAACCTCCTTCACGTGGAAGCTTTGTTATCCACCTACACACTGCTGCCATCCAGATATCCTGGACTGGGTCCATCCTCTAAATCCCAGAACTAAACTCTTCATCATACCCAGCACATCCATTACCACCTCATGACTTTCCACTCTTCCCTCTGCTCCAGGATGTTAGCATAGCCTTTTTCTATCACTTGGACCTCAGCTCAATATTCCTCACAGTATCTCACACTCAAACCATGTATATGGCTTGAATGTGTCCCCTAAAATTTCACGTGTTGAAAACTAACTCCTTGGTGCAAGCATGTTGGGAGGTAGAGTTTAATAAAAGGTGATTGGGTCAAAAGGGTGAATCCCTTATGAATGAATTAATGTCATTATCATGGCAGTGAGATAGTTATTGCAAGAGTGGGTTGCTATAAACCAAGTCCAGCCCCTGGTGCCTCTCTCTGTCTCACATGCTTACTTCTACCTTCTGCCTGTGACCATGGAATTACCCTTACCACATGCTGGTGTCATGCCCTTGGACTTACCAGCCTCCAGAACCACGAGCAAAATAAACTTCTATTGTCTATCACATGCTGTCTGTAGTATTTTGTTATAGCAAGAGAAAATGGACTAAGACACCATGCATGTGGTTTTTGCAGAGAAACAAGAAGTATCTGAAATTAGTATGTTCATTTCTAGTCAACTCCCATTATTCACAGTAGTTATGTCCTATAAAGTCACTGTGAATATCAAATTAACAAATGCCAAGCTGTTGCTCCTAGGGGAAACACAGGGTTGGTTTCCTGCAAGCCTCTGGTTACAACGTTTCCATCAACCAGTCAATACATAATCTTATTTTATGTGTGCTTCTGTTTAAGAATATCTTTTAAATGTATACTGTTGATTCATCACCATTGCACTGGAGGCCAACAGCACTATAACTAATGCCTGAAGGAAGTTTGTCCAACACATGTATTTTCTCTATAAGGCACAGCCTTCTTCCTGTGCTCAGAAACAGCAGACTTAATCATTACACTTGCAGGCCATTTTAAATAGGAAAAACTCACCAAAAAATTGAAAAACATGGTACTAAAGAGAACACAAACAGTACATTTTGTTGTAATATGAAAGCTGGAACAAGAAGGCACAGCCTCACCTTGTCTGGCCCCAGATGGGAATACGTATGTCTGGCATCTCCAATTTTTGGCTGCTTTGCACATGTCTGTGAATGACCATGTGAATGACCATAAAAGTGCCATTAGTATTGATTTGGGGGCTACAAAGAAATTGTAGCAGGTAGGCAAATTCACAAATACAAATCTGTGAGTAACAAGGCCCAACTATATCTGCTTCTTTTATGGCTATCACCCCTCTTTGTAACTCAGCTCCACAAGAACGGGAAGCCTGTTTGCTCTTTTCTCAGTGCTGCAACCCCAGGACTAGGGCAGTGCATGGGAGATAGTCAGTAAGTGGTCATTGAATGACCAAGCGAGCTAATGCTATTTCTCTCTGCCACAAAAAGAAAAGTGTTTCTCTAACTCCCCATCACTCTCATTCTTGTCCTCTAAAGCACATCTCAAAAGCAATCACCCCTAAGCTCCTAGGCATATCTATGTTTTCTTTCTGGGTTCCATGAGCATCTGAAATATATCTCTTTCATAACAAGTATCAATTTGTATTTTCATTACTTTTTTACTATGGGTCTTCTTCACTAGACTGTGAGTCTCTGGGGGCTGGATCTGGTTCATAATGATCTTTGCATCCCTAGCACCTAAGGTTATTGGCTGATATCTATTAGACATCCAGCAAATGTTTGCTTAAAAAAATAAATACTTACAGTCTGCAAACTATTTTTTCTCTTTACTTGTTAGAATCTTTTGTGCTTCTACCATAAAATCAGAGCTTCCTTGGAATTCACTATCATGGCTACAGTTTATGGTTTATGCTTCTAAAATGAACAGGAAGTTCCCTCATGTGCTGAAATGTGGTTATTGCTGTAGAGATGTTAGTTGAGTGAAAGGTGACAACAAAAGCCTCCAGAAAATATCAAGCCAGTAATGAAAAATAGCTTAGGTATTTTTAGGCTTGTCAAATACAGCTTGGATAATTTCGTCAAAGTAGAATAACACGTGTGCTTCACAGAAATGTTATTACATTCAAAGGCTGAAATAAGAACCCGGTATTTGATCATTAGCTATAGGATTTAGCCAAATGCCTCTGAACTTGATCTGACTTCACTACCTGGCTCAAACTTCCAAGTTGGTAGAGCTACAGCCTCTGATTGAGCCCTGTATAGCCCTACCTAGACAGTCTCCTTACCACAGCTCACACCACCTCATTGTATCCATTCTCCAGAGTTCAGTCCGGCCCAAATCCTCCTGAAACTCAGTTCCTGCCCACTTTACCACGCTGTTATCTCACCCTCCTTTCCCATGCTTATTAACTATGCCAAACATTTCTTTCTTATCTCATCAGCTAATATTTCATGACTATCCATACATATGAATCTGCTTTATTAGATAAGCAAGTACTAAATAGAACCACTGCCTCCTCAATAGTACTCAAGAAAGTGCCTAGAGGCCAATAAATCCCCAAGCAACATGAGTGTGAATGTAAAGCCGGTTGATAAAACAGTAAAATCTCTACTACATGATAACAAAAACATTGAAATCCTGTGTTGATAATGTCATCCAAACCAAAAATGTGAACCCTTCCTGAAGGTACAAGACAACTTACTATTGTTTTCTGCATAAATCCTTATGACAGGCATCATCTCAAAGAGCACTTTTGGCTTTGATTCAATGAGCTTCATGTTCCTCTTGTCCCAGCCAGCGCCTTCAAGATATAAGCCATAGACGTAGACACCCTCTGTGGCGGGGGCAGAAATGTCATCCTTCATCCATTTGGTGACTTCATTGCAAAGCACCATATTGTCCAGAGCCCAGCCTTTGGTGGCCCGAGTTATTTCCTATTCAGTGCAGCAAAAGATAAATGGAGCAGTTAGAGGCTTGTCTTAATAAAAAGAGCATAACAATAAGGAAAGCTTAGTTCCAAATCACTCTAGCTCGAAGGACGTACAATAGTATTTAAAGAATTAGCAAGATCTCCCATTAAAAAAAAAAAAACATATCCTAATTTAGCTACGTTTACTTTAAAAAGAAATGCAACATCAAATCAAATACAAAAATAACAAATAAATATTTTGAAAGTTGAGCAAGCAGCCTGAGAACAAGTGGCTGGGATTTATGTTCATGACAATGTAACTGCTGGTACCAAAAACAGACAGTCATTCTCTGTCTCATTATAGTCTTTAAAACTATAATGAAAGAAAGCCCTGTGGAGGAAAATTATAATAACACAATGGGTGCAATTCAAAGCTCTTACCTGTCGCATTGCAGTTAAAAATCCCTGGGGGTTAAAAAAGCCTGTCATCCAAAAGCAGTGAGGTCGGCCATTGAAAACCCATGAGGTAAACTGGCTATTTCTTTCTATAAGTTCAGTAAACCAGAAACCCAGAGTACTTGAAACCCAAGAAGCCTGCAATGAAGACATTAAAACAATTAATTGTTATAAGTTTAATACTGCAGTGTAAACCAGCTATGTTCGCTGAAAAAAATGATGAAACATCAACTTCACTTTTGTACGAAAAAGTCCCTAAGTCATGAATTTTCCCTGGATTCTGGCATAAACTTTTCAAATTATTCTTTCTCCTTAGCAATAGTAATGATTACAAAGATATGACAGAATATGCTAGTCATCACAGGAACATCAGATCAATTCACAGAGCTGTTCAAGATGTCTAATGTCAATCGAATCACTTTCCATGTACCAATATATTTATCACTGATTCTGCTATAACAGGATCAAAGCAATTTATTGGATTAATGGCTTTCATCATTTTTCCTTAGGTTACAGTTTCAATCTATAACACATAAAAAAGGATTTTATTTACATAAATATGCTCCTGGCCCTATCAAGATAAATCATCACTTTAAAATAGATCCCATGCATGGTAAGTTGTAGAAGGCTTGCTACACTTATTTTTAATGGGGTAAACAACAGTTATTTTCTGGAATGATTGTCCCTTTGGAATGCATTTTTATTTCCTCTCTTGAAGGAGCAAAAAATGGGAACCCAAGACCCTTTCTCATTCACAAATTAGCTGCATGTATTGCTTCTGACTTTCTCCCTGAATTACCCTGTGGAGCTTCTATTATGATAACTGGCATGGAAATGTCATTAATGTCATCAGCAGCAGCACTGGAAGCTATCTTCAAATCATAGATTACAACATTTTACTGTAATTACAACATTTTAGGTATGAATAAATGCAGTAATCAACCTGGGTAGGTATAACACTTGAATTTCAAATACCTTAAGAATTAATTTGCCAATTGTTAAAGAGTTACTGAGATTCCAAAGACTGATAATAAACTGAGAAGAATAAAAACTTGAATAAAATGATCATCATTTAAAAATGAAGTCACTCATTGTCTTCTATCTTTATCGCTCTGTTAACTAAAAGAGATGTGTGTTTATGTTTGGTCTGAGGGCAGAGGGAGCCCTTAATGAGACAGACATTCCTGTTCCACAGCCAGAGCCTCCCAGTTCCTACTGAGGTGGGTGATCTGGTTTGGTAGGGAAGGAACTCACAATGGCCAGTGATCTGGAAGAGTCCCCCTCTGTCCTTGGCAATGAGAAGAGGCAATTCAGATAGAAAACTCTCTGGCATGTGCAATGGATTTATCAAAGATGAGAAGGAAACAAAGGAATCCTGTCAAAGCTGATTCTGAGTATCTAAGCTATGTGATTAGAAGGATGAGGGGTGGTGTCATCAAATAACACGGAGAAGACAACAAGAAGCAGTCCTACTTACTATCTGCTGAACTCACTGCCTCATAATCTGCTGAAGCCCTGGAGGACATACCTGAGGGGCTCAGCACTAAACAAATCCTTCTGCCTTCTCATTTAGCCAGGTAACCTACGGACGCCAAGTCTCTATCCTCCCACCCACCAACTTCATATCTGTATTCTGCCCTCTCTGTGCAGCCCCCAACCTAATCCAATCACCCTCTGTCCTTGGCAATAAAAGAGGCAAGCTCCCCTCCCAAGCCTTTCTACTGTACCTTCAACATCTTTAGTACTATGATCAGAAAACTCTTCTAGATCCTCCACCTCATTCTGGAGCATTCTGTCCATCCCTTCTCTTAACTGAAGTCTGCTCTCCACCCTACATGCTACACCCAGGACAGACTGCTTCCTTCACAGCCTTCTCCAAATGTAGGCTACTGATTTCCTCATACTCCACAATCCTCAGGACCAGGGGAAGAAGAGATGACCTTGTTGTTTCTGTTATTGTCAGGTTATCACATTACCTCATTCTCTTCCCTTGAGTCTCAAGCCATCTGGACATACTATCCTTACCCCTTCTTGTTTCTGTCACCTACTGGTCACTTCTTCTTATTCATGAGGGAATTTGGCTCCTGGTTTACTCTTCTGCTCAGTTCCCCCAAGTAATCATGAGTGTGATGATGACGATGGCGATGGTGGTGGAGGTGGTGGTGGTGATGGTGGAGGCAGTAATGGTGGCTGTGGTGGTGACAGTGGTGGTGATGATGGTAGTGGTGATGGTGGTTTTGGTAGTGATGGTGCTGCTACAGTTTTGCTATTAATAATCACAAGCAGTTACATAGCACTGGCCACATGCCACGTCCTGTTCTAAGCACTTCACACACACATCAACTCATTTAATCCTCACAAAGTGCTAGGAATTACATAATGCTATTGTTTCCCTTTGACAGATAAGGAAACTGAGGCAGAGCAATCCAACTAGCATACCCCAAGTTAGATAGCCCAAAAGAGACATGATTTGAACCTGGGTATTCTGGCCAAGTAAGTGCATACTCAAAACCCACATACTCTTTATGTGCTTTCATTAATCACTCTAGGTGACTTAGCATCCATGTGAATGATGCATTTCACATCCTGCTATCTTATCTCATGACCCTCTGCTCACTAATGACCCTAATGTCCATTCCACTTTATTCGTCTACTCCCACACTCATGTTAAATTTTGTCACCCTCAAACACCAGCCTGTTGGGAGGTGCAGTTTTTTCCACTCCTATATTTCCTTCCATGGAGAGAGAGTTTATTTAACACTCCAAGCTCCTTGACTCTCTCATTCTCCACACCCTCAAAAGGTAGAGACTCATCTGGCTTGTGACTGTTTCAGAGTCGGGTTCTGCTCATCAGATGTCCCATGTGCCCCCTATACTTCCCGGCCTCCCATGCAGTTAGGCTGGGTCCAAGGTTCTAGTTCTGACACAGCCTGTGAATGGAAGTGGCACGGGTCACTTTCTGATCCAGATAGTCTAGATCTGGGGTGCCTTGTCCACCTCCCTTCCCTCTGCTGTGATGACTTCAGAAGCCACATGCTCCAGGTGGTAGTTCCCAGATGACAAGACCTCCATCAGGAGGGTCCCAGAGTAACTGTGTGGTGCCAAGGATCCGCCCAGCTGGTGAGAGACATGGAAGTGGAGTGCAACTAGAACAGCAGCTCCTGAAGTATGATCAGTGGCTCAGCACTGGGGCAGCAGGGGGTTGGAGAAGTCATAGCAGCAGTGGAAAGGTGGAGATACAGTTAGGAAGCCCAGCCAGCCAGCCCCTTCTGCCTTTATTGCTGGGAGTAGCAGGGGACGAGGAGCACACACTCTCTTCTGCTCCTGCACACTCGAGCTTCCCAGAGAAGTCTCTGTAGAGGAAGCTATCTAGTACAGAGCTGTTGGTGGGTAGGTCTGTCTGATTCTGAATTCTGTTTTAGAAACCCCAAAACTCACCTTCCAGCAGATAGAAACCACATTGTTCAATATTAGCTTTACCAGTAAATGTTCTCTAATCTGCACTACGCCTTTTCTGCCTCTTAATTGCTTTGGAATTCAGGTGGAGAAAAGAGCTAGCTATTTAGCCGCCTTAAGAAATCCAACATGCACCACCTCCATTCCACATTCCATTCGTCAACCACAACCTCCACTTCCACTTCACTTGTTCAAGAACAGTCCCTTGACCTAAGCCTGGTATCCGAATCTTTGGTTCCATCACTTTTACCTCATCTATAAATTTTGTCCCATCTCCATTTTGCTAGGTGAAGTAAACCAGACACAGAAAGGCAAATACCGCACCATCTCACTTATATGTGGAGGCTGAAAGAGTTAAACTCATAGAAACAGAGAGTAGAATAGTGGTTATCAGAGACTAGGGGGTAGGGTAGGGAGGGAGATATAGGGAGTTGTTGATCAAAGGGTAAAAAATTTCAGTTAGATAGGAGAAGTAAGTTCAAAAGATCTATTTTACAACAAGGTGACTATAGTTTATAGGAAATCCACTGTATTCTTGAAAACTGCTGAGAGTGGCTTTTAAGTCTGAACCACAAGAAAATGTGAATTAAGTAGATGAGGTAATGTCTATGTTAATTAGCCCAGCTTAGCCACTCCACAGCATACACATCATTCAAAACAACATGTAGCACAACATAAATAATTTTTGTCAAGTAAAATAAAGTTTCAAATAAGTCGTTAACAACTTTTGTTTCATCTCTCCTCTCATCTTCATCTTCCCTCATTATAATCTCCCCATTGAGAAGGGCTTCCATGACCTAGCCACCTGTCCCACTAGGGGTTGAATTGTGTCTCCCCAAAACCATATATTGAAGTCCTAACCCCCAGCAGCTAACAATATGATTGGCTTTGGGAACAGGGTGCTTACAGAGGTAATCAAATGAAAATGAGGCATAAGTGTGACTCTAATCCAATACGCTGCTATCCTTATGAAAAGGGGAAATGCGGACACAGAGACAGATGTGCATAGAGGGATGATGTGAACATACACAGGGCAAAGAAAACCATATGAAGACAAAGGGAGAGATTGGACTAAGACTGCTACAAGCCAAGGAGCTCCCGGGGCCACCAGAAGTAGAATGAAGCAAAGAAGGATGCTCCCTTAGACACTCAAGGGAACATGGCTGGCCAACAGTTCTATTTTGGACTTGTCACCTCTGGAATTACAAGAAAACAAATTTTTGTTGCTTAAGCCACGCAGTCAGTGGTACTTTGTTATGGTACCTCAAAAAAACTAGCACATCTGTCACTGCACTCTCTGGGTGGGTGTCCAACATGGAAAGCCCCGGAAGTGTCCACCTTCCCAGGCCTACTCCTGGCAGCTGAAGACAACTATAGGTGATGCACACCTGTGAGGCTAGTGTCATTCACATTCATAACTTGAGATTGCAAAGGAGTTCCTTGTGTGCATTTCTATCCTAGTTTCCCCCTCCTTCCAACCTTTAGGTGTGGCAGGGCAAGTGAACGAGGAAGTAGAGCAGAAGTGAAGATCCAGGGAGCAGGGACACTGGGAGCGACCTGTCAGGCCAGCCCTGGTTGGGTTCACACTGTGGGTGTGAAGTCCCCCAGACAATTGCCGGGATCAGATGAAAAGGAAGCCACGGGCAGATCCATATTTTCCCAAGAAATAGGTTACAGAAGATACCAACACCTCCCACTCTTTTCCTATGTATTTTTCCCACCATAATTACTCTTAGCAATTTCACTTACATCTCCCCATAACATGGGTGTGCATCCACATCACACACATGCACGTGCACACACACACACACACACACACACACACACACACAGAACAAGGAGAAGAATACCATTTAGGTTCCGTGCCTTCAAATGTACTCTACTAAAATACACTTATTTGCCTACTTACAAAGACAATCAGGAACTCATTTTACTTTTCCAAGTGAAAAATTATTCCTTACCACTGTATCTGTCTTTAGCACAATTACTAACAAGTAACCAGTGAGCATGCTGTTAAATTCTAATCCTCTTATTTTGATATATACATGCTACACACTGTATTTACAGATATAATGATACCAGAGAGGGACAGGGAAGTGCTGGATAGAGCAGTCCAGGGTCCTCGGTGAAGGCTCCACCCTCAGGCTTGCACCCACAGACCTAAGTGAGAACAGGCTCTCTTGTTTTTGTGCCCAAATGTTACATTTTCCAAGATAAACTCTGGCCCACCATGCCCCCCATCCTGTGCCCATATAAATCCGAAAGACCATAGCAGGCACACACAAGTGGCTGGACGTCAAGAGGAGCAGAAGAGCAGAAGGGCACACAGACAGACACCAGCAGACACTGGCAGGACCAACAGACACCACTGGCGGTGGGACGAAGTGGAATTTGCTAAGGTGGGGTCAAAGAAGAGTTCAGACACTGGGTGGCCCAACTCTAGGGGAAGACCGCCTTCCCACTCCATCCCCCTGCTGGCTCCCCAACCACCTTGCTGAGAACAACTTCCACCACTCAATAAAACTTTGCACCTATCCTCTAAGCCCACATGTGATCCAATTTTTCAGTACACTAGAGCAAGAACCCAGGATACAGAAAGTTCTGTCCTTGTGATAAGGCAGAGGGTCTAATTGAGCTGATTAACATGAGCTACTTGCAGATGGCAAAACAGGAAGAGCGCACTGTAATGCCTGTCCATTCAGGATCTGTACACACTCAACCCTAGATGCCGCCATGGGATCGGAGCCCAAAAACACTCCCCACCACCTGCCTGTCTGCGCTCCCCCTAGGGGTTTGAGCAGGAGGGCACAAAAAAAGTGAGCCACAGCCCTGTCACATACCCTGTGAGGGGGATAAGGGAACTCCTCCCATGTCAACAGCATATAGCAGAGACTTTTTTCTTTTTGGTCTGACTTTTGATGTGTCGTTGAGGGTAGGGGGCATTTTTCCTTTCCTTCCTGGGCTTTGGAGTACAGGGGCTTGGGTTTAAATTCTCATTCTTGGACTACTTAGATGTATAATCTGAGAAAAGACTTAACCTGTCCCAACCTTAAGTTTCTCATCTGTAAAATAAGAGCAGAAAAATACAAAATTTAAATGAAATAATGTATGCAAATTTCCTAGGAGAGAACCTGCTCTGCTAGAAGAAAAACTTCCTTCCCTACCTATGATCTAAAAATATAGGGTTATAAGGGGCTTAGTCCCTAACAAAAGAAACATGTTGAGTAAATTATCCATCAATGCTTTCCATTTGCCAGTTACAACTCTTCACAACAATAGGTGATGAGGCAGAATAAGAGCAGGATTATACATACTTTTTTCCACCAAGCAGGGATTCTAGCATCAAACATGCAATCCAACGCATCTCGCAGATTTTCGCTCATGACGATGGTGCCATCAATAGCGAGCTTCAGCTCAGTGAGGGTGCTGCGGACAAGGCTGAGTACCCTTTGCATCCTGTCTATTTCCTGCCTGAGGAAAATGTTCATAGGCTGGAATGGCCCCATCTTCTGCAGCCTCTCTTTCACCTGCCGTGGACACATTCAAAGCACATGTAAGCAATTAGTTACTAAGGATTTTATAGACCTGGTGCCCTGGGGTCTCTGAACAGGCCTAAATTCTTACTATTCCAGAAATAATCAGCTTCTATTTTATTGCATGGCAAAAAAAGAAAAAAAGAAGTATCTATTAGATGACCAGCCTGAATTTTCATGCCATGTGGGAAAGAACAGGCAGCCATGAATTCACAGAAGAATGTAAAATGCGTGACCACAACCATGCAGTTTTCCAAACAGCAAATGCACTTATCGGGAAATTCCCTTTCTGCCAATCTGAGTTCTTTCAAACCCACATGTGGACACACACAAGAAGACACGCACGCACACACAACCATTCTGCTGGCTGTCTCAAAAAACTAGAATTCTCTTTTAAGAGAATTCTAAAAGAATTCCGTTTTTTCCATCAAATCATTTATCCATCTCCTCGTCCATTCATTATCATCCTATTTATCAAGAGTCTTCTATGGATCAGATATGGTGCTAGGCTGAGTTGCTACAACCTAAGGTAGCACTGACAAATTCAGCAAAAGAAGGGAGATTCTTCTAACTCCTGCTCCTTACCGTGTTTATTTATGTGATTATCATTCTATATTTAGATATTTTTATCACTTCCTAAATATTTCAACCCCTGCTAGATGTGAATGACACCTTTCCCGATCCTATAATGAAGAGTGCCTATGAAAGCCGATAACAGTATTGATTTTTCTTCAAGCAAATAATCAGAGGTTATTCCAGGGACATTATCCCCTTGACTACAGGTCCCTAAGTTCAGTCTGTAGTATTAGCAGCCAAAATCGCCTGCTTAGTAGAAAAGAGTGGGGTGCAAAAGACTCAAAATGCTATAGGATTCCTTTTGAAAACGAGGTACAAAAGGAAAAAATACAAAGAAATAGGGTGTCTCTGTGTTAGAAGAACCAATTGATTGTCCAGGTCATCTCCTAAAACTATATGGAAAATCAGCTACCTCTTATTCTTGGTTTAATCAAACATTTTTTTTTTTATTTTGTAAATATATTTTTTTTAATTTTCTGGGTGCATATGTAATTGAATTGTTTGTAACTCAAAGGATAATCGAAGATTTTAAAATACTATCAGGGTAAATCTTTCCACAATACTCATTAAGATGTCAAACAAGAACACAATTAGGGGGCGGGAGGCAGGACTAGATTGCTGCTCCCACTCAGCTGGACAGAGCAGTGTTCGAAGGCTTACATTGTGAACATTAGCTCCAGATCGACTGCAAGAACAAACCAGAAATCCTGAGAGTACCCACAGATCCTATGAGGGACCTGGACTGCCCCTGCAGGACGAGGGAGACACCACATATACTGTGAGTGCTCCAACTGCAGAAGTGGGAAAGGGAGAGCCTCCTGTCCTGAACGCACCCTCCCACTAGAGAAACTGAAGCAGCCACAGCAAGCCCAAGGAGAGGCTGCGCTCAGACACGCCTAGCCTTGCCCCCACCTGGTGGTCCTTCCCTACCCACCCTGGTAGTGGAAGAAAAAGGGCATATAATCTTGGGAGTTCTAGGCCCGCCCCTGCCACTGCAGGTTTCTCTTGATACTACCAAAGCTGATGCTCTCTGGAAAGTGCCACCTCCCAGCAGGAGGTCAACCAGCACAAAAAAAGAGCATTAAACCACCAAAGCTAAGAACCCTCACAGAGTCCACTGCCTCCCACCGCCACCTCCACCGGAACAGACACTGCTATCCACAGCTGAGGGACCCAGAGACGATGGTTCACATCACAAAACTCTGTGCAGACAACCTCAGCACCAGCCCAGAGCCAAGCAGACTTGCTGGGTGGCTAGACCCAGAAGCGAGACAACAATCACTGCAGTTTGGCTCACAGGAAGCCACATCTGTAGGAAAAAGGGGAGAGTAATACATCAAGGGAACACCCTGTAAGACAAAAAATCTGAACAACAGCCTTCAGCCCAAGACCCTCCCTCTGACAGAGTCTTCCCAAATGAGAAGGAAGCAGAAAACCAACTCTAGTAATATGACAAAACAAGGCTCTTTAACACCCCCCAAAATCATACTAGTTCACCAGCAATTGATCCAAACCAACAAGAAATCCCTGATTTACTTGAAAAAGAATTCAGGAGGTTAGTCATTAAGCTAATCAGAGAGGCAACAGAGAAAGGTGATGCCCAATGCAAGAAAATCCAAAAAACAATATGAGAAGTGAAGTTAGAAATATTCAAGGACATAGATAACTTAAAGAAAAAAAATTAAAAATTCAGGAACCATTGGACATACTTATAGAGATGCAAAATGGTCTGGAAAGTCTCAACAATAGAATTGAACAAGTACAAGAAAGAAATTCAGAGCTTGAAGACACAGTTTTCGAATTAACCCAATTTAACAAAGACAAAGAAAAAGTTTTAAAATATGAACAAATTCTCCAAGAAGTCTGGGATTATGTTAAATGATCAAACCTAAGAATAATCAATGTTCCTGAGGAAGAAGAGAATTCTAAAAGCTTGGAAATCATATTTGAGGGAATAATTGAGGAAAACTTCCCCGGCCTTATTAGAGACCTAGACATCCAAATACAAGAAGCACAAAGAACACCTGGGAACTTAGTCACAAAAAGATCATCACCTAAGCACATTGTCATCAGGTTATCCAAAGTTAAGATGAAGGAAAGAATCCTAAGAGCTATGAGACAGAAGCACCAGGTAACCTATAAAGGAAAACCTATCAGATTAACAGCAGATTTCTTAGCAGAAACTCTGCAAGCTGGAAGGGATTAGGGCCCTCTCTTCAGCCTCCTCAAACAAAACAATTATCAGCCAAGAATTTTGTATCCAGCAAAAATAAGCATCAGATATGAAGGAAAGATACAGTCTTTTTCAGTCAAACAAACGCTGAGAGAATTCATCACTACCAAGTCACCACTACAAGAACCGCTAAAAGGAGCTCTAAATCTTGAAACAAATCCTGGAAACAGATCAAAACAGAACCTCTTTAAAGCATAAACACACAGGACCTATAAAACAAAAAATACAATTTAAAAAGCAAAAAAAAAAGTACACAGGCAACAAATAACACAATGAATGCAATGGTACCTCACATCTCAATACTAACATTTAATATAAATGGCCTAAATGCTCCACTTAAAAGACAGAGAACCAGGCCAGGTGCAGTGGCTCACACCTGTAATCCCAGCACTTTGGGAGGCCGAGGTAGGTGGATCACCTGAGGTCAGGAGTTCAAGAGCAGCCTGGCCAACATGGTGAAACCCTGTCCCTACTAAAAATACAAAATTAACCATGTGTGTTGATGCATTCCTGTAGTCCCAGCTACTTGGGAGGCTGAGCTAGGAGAATCACTTGAACCCAGGAGGCAGACGTTTCAGTGAGCCGAGATCATGCCATTATACTCCAGTCTGGGTGACAAGAGCAAAACTCTGCCTCAAAAAAAAAAAAAAAAAAAAAAGATATAGAACCACAGAATGGATAAGAACTCACCAATCAACTATCTGCTGCCTTCAGGACTTACCTAACACATAAGGACTCACATAAACTTAAAGTAAAGGGGTGATAAAGGCATTTCATGCAAGAGGACACCAAAAGTGAGCTAGAATAGCTGTTTTTATATCAGACAAAACAAACTTTAAAGCAACGGCAGTTAAAAGAGACAAAGACAGACATTGTATGATCTTTAAAGGCCTTGCCCAACAGGAAAATATCACAACACTAAAGATACATGCAACTAACACTGGAGCTCCCAAATTTATAAAACACTTACTAATAGGAATAAGAAATGAGACAGCAGCCCAATAATAGTGGGGGACTTCAATACTCCACTGAACATTTCATCCAACAACCACAGAATACACATTCTATTCAACAGCATAGGGTCTATCCTTCTCCAAGACAGACCATATGATAGGCCATAAAATAAGCCTCAATAAATTTAAGAAAACTGAAATTATATCAAGCACTCTCTCAGACCACAGTGTAATAAAACAGAAACCAACTCTAAAAGGAACTTTCAAAACCATGCAAACACATGGAAATTAAATAACCTGTTCCCGAATGAGCATTGGGTCAAAAAACGAAATCAAGATGGAAATTTGAAGTCTTCTAACTGAACAACAAAAATGGCACAACCTATCAAAACCTCTGGGACACAGCAAAGGCAGTGCTAAAAGGAAAGTTCATAGCCCTAAATGCCTCCATCAAAAAGACTGAAAGAGCACAAACTGACATTCTAAAGTCACACCTCAAGGAACTAGAAAAACAAGAACAACCCAAACCCAAACCCAGCAGAAGAAAGGAAATAACCAAGACCAGAGCAGAACTAGATGAAATTGAAACAATACAAAAGATAAATGAAACAAAAAGCTGGTTCTTTGAAAAGATAAACAAAATTAATAGCCCATTAGCAAGATTCACCAAGGAAAGAAGAGAGGAAGCCCAAATAACCTCATTAAAAAACAAAAGAGGCGATATTACAACTGATACCACTGAAATACAAAAGATTATTCAAGGCTACTACGAACATCTTTATGCACATAAACCAGAAAATCTAGAAGAGATGAATAAATTCTTGGAAAAATACAGCCCTCCTAGCTTAAATCAGGAAGAATTAGATAACCCTGAACAGACAGATAACAGGCAGTGAGACTGAAATGATAATTAAAAAGCTACCAACATAAAAAAGTCCAGGACCAGATAGATTCACAGCAGAATTCTACTAGACGTTCAAAGAATAATTGATACCCACGCTTTTGACATTATTCCACAAGAGAAAGAAGGAACCCTCCCTAATTCAACACCTTAATACCAAAATCAGGAAAGGACACACCCAAAAAAGAAAACTACAGACTGATATCCTTGATCAACATAGATGCTAAAATCCCTAACAAAACACTAGCTAACCAAATCCAACAATGTATCAAAAAGAGAATTCACCACTATCAAGTGGATTTTATGCCAGGGATGGTTTACCATATGCAAGTCAATAAATGTGATACACCACATAAACAGAATTAAAAACAAAAATCACATGATCATCCCAATAGATGCAGAAAAAGCATTTGACAAAATACAGCATCCCTCTATGATTAAAACGCTCCGAAAAATCAGCATACAAGGGACACACCTCAATGTAATAAAAACCATCTATGACAAACCCACAGCCAACATAATATTGAATGGGGAAAAGTTGACGGCATTGCCTCTGAGAACCGGAACAAGACAAGAATGCCCAGTCTCACCACTCCTTTCTAACATAGTACTGGAAGTCCTAGCCAGAGCAATCAGATAAGAGAAAGAAATAAAGGGCATCCAATTCAGTAAAGAAGAAGCCAAACTGTCACTGTTTGCTGATGATATGATCATTTACCTTGAAAACCTTAAAGACTCCTCAAGAAAGCTCCTAGAACTGAAAAAGCATTCAGCAAAGTTTCTGGATACAAGATAATTGTACACAAATCAGTAGCTCCTCTATATAACAACAGTGACCAAGTGGAGAATCAAATCAAGAACTCAGCCCTTTTACAATAGCTGCAAAAATAAAATAAAATACTTAGAAATATACCTAACCAGGAAGTCAAAAGACCTCTACAAGGAAAACTACAAAACGCTGTGGAAAGAGATCACAGACAGCACAAATATAAACACATCCCATGCTCATGGATGGGTAGAATCAATATTGTGAAAATGACCATGCTGCCAAAAGCAATCTATAAATTCAAGGCAATCCTCATCAAAAGACCACCATCATTCTTCACAGACTTAGAAAAACCAATTCTAAAATTCATATGGAACCAAAAAGAGCCTGCATAGACAAAGCAAGACGAAGCAAAAAGAACAAATCTGGAGGCATCACACTACCTGATTTCAAACTATACTATAAGGCCACAGTCACCAAAACAGCATGGTGCTGGTATAAAAATAGGCACATAGACCAATGGAATAGAATAGAGAACCCAGAAATAAACCCAAATACTTAACAGCCAACTGATTTTTGATAAAGCAAACAAAAACATAAAGTGGGGAAAGAACAATCTTTTTAACAAATGGTGACGGGATAATTGGCTGGCCACATGTAAAAGAATGAAACTGGACCCTCATCTCTTACCTTATACAAAAATCAACTCAAGATGCATTAAGGACTTAAATATAAAACTTGAGACTGTAAAAATTCTAGATGATAACATTGGAAAAACCCTTCTAGACATTGGCTTAGGCAAGGATTTCATGACCAAGAACTCATGACCATGACAAATGCAGTAATAACTAAGATAAATAGCTGAGACCTAATTAAACTAAACAGCTTTGCATGGCAAAAGGCACAGTCAGCAGAGTGAACAGACAACCCACAGAATGGGAGAAAAACCTTCACAATCCATACATCAGACAAAGGACCAATAACCAGAATCACAATGAATTCAAACAAATCAGTAATTTTAAAAAATCCCATCCAAAAGTGGGCTAAAGACATGAATAGACAATTCTCAAAAGAAGATATACAAATGGCCAGCAAACATGAAAAAAAATGCTCAACATCAGTAATGAGCAGGGAAATGCAAATCAAATCCACAATGCAATAACACCTTGCTCCTGCAAGAATGGCCATAATCAAAAAATTAAAAAACAGTAGATGTTGGCATGGATGTAGTGATGTAGTGATCAAGGAACACTTCTACACTGCTGGTGGGAATGTAAACTAGTACAGCCACTATGGAAAACAGCGTGGAGATTCCTTAAAGAACTAAAGGTAAGAACTACCATTTGATCCAGCAATCCCACTACTGGGTATCTACCTAGAGGAAAAAAAAAGTCATTATACAAAAAAGATACTTGCACACCCATGTTTACAGCAGCACAATTCACAATTGCAAAATCATAGAACCAACATTCTCAACAGGTTTCCTTATGGTTTATATATTGAAAAGATTACATTACATTCATGGATACAAAACTCCTTTTCCTGGTTCTTTAAGAAGCTGTTTTTTAAAAGAATGTTTTTTAATTTCAGGAAAATTATCTTTTGCCCACCTTTCTTCTTCCTCAGTCTCCCAACAGAAGACATGCAACCCCAGCTGACATTTTGTAAGGATTTTGTCAACTCACTTCAAAGGGGACATAGTCTGGGGGCAGCTTCTCCAGCATATCATCAGCCAGCCGGGCCACCACTGCCTCCCGGGTCTCATTCCCTCCACCAGAACTGTCCTTGGGTTGGATGCCTAGGATGATGTCCAGCACGTCCTTGGCCAGCTTGCTCTGGTAGGTGATATCAGCATTGGGGTGGAGCCCAAACACCTCAGGGCTGTCGTAGGCAGGCAAACTCTGAACAATAAACACCCCAGGTAAGCACAGACTGCCAACATAAACACCATCTAAATTATACTATCTTAGGAAACAAAAATCCTTTTATGAGGATATGCATTTACTTAACTCTTATTGGTGTCAAGCTACAAACCTCAATAATTTTTGCAGAAAAGAATCAAAAGTTTCCTTAAAAAAACAATTAACATTGAGAAACATAAACTGGGCTCATAACTCTTTACAGTCTGCACCTGAAACAAAATTTAATCAAAGACAGACTGTCTTGTTATATGATATGTGACACAGAAAGGGAGCTGTGGTTGGTGTTTTGCTTTCTGACAGTCTAATCAAACACAAACCAGTTGTCCAACCAAATCAATGTTGTATAACTAATGACTATTATGTTTGTAAGATACCAGGAAATGACAGCTTTAGTAATTGAGGTCCAAATAAAGGCAGCAGGTGGGAGTTGTACTTTCCCAGGGAAAAAGAGGCTAGGAAAAGAGAGAAATTGAGAAAGCAGCAGAGTCAGAGAGACAGAGACGGAGTGGGACACAGGCAGAAGCAGGATGAGCTGGGAGAAAGATCCCCCAACCGTTTGAAAACAAGGAAAATTTACTGACAATTTGACACATCTTTCTATGTATGAATCTTATCCTTAACTTAATTATTGGCATACTCATATTTCTCTCTCTTCCTCTCCATCGTTTTATTCCTTCTTGCATAATGTCTTCTTATGAGCTACCGCAAACGCACTGTGAGATGGGGTGTATATAAAAAATATATGTATAGGCACCCCTAAATTTATGCCTCCATGGGCACTTTTCCTATTCAGTGCTGATGATTTAAAGATACATGGATTACAGTAAGACAAATATATTTGCTGATTTGAATGAATAAAAGTGCAGAGGTGGTAATATATGAGAAACTCATTACATTTATATATCAAAAAACATGTAAATATACTGATAAATTTAGCCTTCTGGGGCTGTTATGTTTTAGTTTGTTTACTCTGAGGTAAATCTTAGACAGACACCAAAGAGACTGCTAAATAATGATCTAATGAATTTAAGGTATAGAGAAAAAAAACACAGTCACCTTGAAAATCAGAATTTTTCCCCTACCTATTTCAAACTGCCGGTAGAAATCTACCTAGGTGTTCCCACTCATAGGCAGGTAATGAACAATGAGAACACATGGACACAGGAAGGGGAGCATCACACACTGGGGTCTGTTGCGGGGGGCCAAGGGAGGGACAGTGGGGGTGGGTGGGCAGGTCGGGGAGGGATAACATGGGGAGAAATGCCAGATGTAGGTGACAGGGGGATGGAGGCAGCCAACCACATTGCCGTGTGAGTACCTATGCAACAATCCTGCATGATCTGCACATGTACCCCAGAACCTAAAGTTCAATTAAAAAAAAAATTTACATCTAGGAAAAAAAAAAAAGAAATCTCCCTATGCCTTCTTACATCAGTGCTTCTCAACCAGCAACAATTTTGTGCCACCAGAGGACATTTGGCAATTTTAGGAGACATTTTTGGTTCCCGCAACTGGGTAAAGGAGTGCTACTGGCATCCTGTGGATAGAGGCCAGAGGTGCTACTAAATAGCCCGTGATGCGCAGGCCAGCGCCCCCCGCCTCCCTCAACAGAGAATGATCCAGCCTTGAATGTCAATAGTGCCAAGGCTGAAAAACCCTATCTTAGAGGAAGCTCTTAGACAAAGCAGGTTCCTGGATGTGCCCATTGGCTGTCCATTAGGCCAGGGTTAAGGAACAGATGTCACGGGATTAGGCAAGTGCATTGGAAAACAGAACAAACTGGGTGTAGAAGCTGCCTTTGCCCTACTGCTGTGGCAGCTGAAGTCTCACAGACAGAGAACTCCAGGGATTTGTGTAGGTCTCCTAGTTCTAAATCTGCCTAGTCTGCCATCTCCTCAAAGAAAATTCCTCCGTGGGGCATTAAAAAAAGAAGGGGGATGGAAACACGATTCACACAAAACACACACTCAGGACAAATGTAAACACTTCAATCATCTGTTAAGTATAAAAATACGAAGAAAGCCTTCACAGCAAAAGCATTAGTATATATCACCATTAAAATTTATTGTAAAAGCAACATAGACAGTGTGCTTAACACCAAAAAGTCAAATGGGTACAGATATTTGCTCTATGCATAAAATTCTGAAGTTGACAAACCTGGATATATTGAAGATAGTTATCCACTGTGCTGCATTTTGGAATATTGTATCCTTGGTAAAAACTGAAATCTGGTCCAAACATATTTTCACTGAACCAAACCTTAGCAAATGTGTTCAACAACCTCTTATCATAGTCATCAGTGACTCTACCTCCATATTGAATCTCTCCTATCATGTAGCGGATGGTGGTCCAGGAGACACCCTGGGAAAATTTATAGAAAAATTATGTGGATCTGACTACTACTGCATTATTATTTCCCTGCCAACACCCATATATTCACTTTTAACATTCATTGAGTCAGTCATTTTCATCAGTATCGCGAAGAGAAAGTGCAGAAAGAAAAGTAAATAGGCAAAGAAGAGTAATTACTCATGTCCATGATTTGAAATAGACTTCCTCGATGCATTCATGTTTTTGTACCTCAATGTAAATAGAAAAGTGTTTGCTTTTTGAGAGTATTGAGGCAGTTCTTTAGAAAGCACACACTTCAAACTAATCTAGACTCCCATTTTCATTTTCTAGGATTTTGAAGAATGAGTCTCCCCACCCATACCCCTGACAATGGGCCCTTTGAGGCTCTCTTTGGAAGGTCAACCTGCCTTTGAGAAATCAAATAAGAGGGCCGGGCACAGTGGCTCATGCCTGTAATCCCAGCACTTTGGGAGGCCAAGGAGGCGGATCACAGGGTCAGGAGATTGAGACCATTCTGGCCAATATGGTGAAAACCCATCTCTACTAAAAATATAAAACATAGCCAGACATGGTGGCATGTGCCTGTAGTCCCAGCTACTCAGGAGGCTGAGGCAGGAGAATTGCTGGAACCTGGGAGGTGGAGGCTGCAGTGAGCTGAGATTGTGCCACTGCACTCCAGCCTGGGTGACAGAGTAAGACCCTGTCTCAAAAAAAAAAAAAAAAAAGAAAGAGAGAAAATAATAATCAAAACTTGTGCATTTTTTCCTGAAATCAAGAGGCAAGCGTGACCCAAGTTGCTACGACTTAAAGATGACTTTGCAAGCACAGCAAATTTTACTACGAAGCTAGGAAGCCATGTCAGCTTGACGGTCCAAGCCCACAGCCACCGGGGGCACGAGGCAGCAGGCGCAGTAGTACCTTTTTGACATCCATGTCATCCAGGTGGTTTTGGATGAACTGCACAGTGGCATTAAAGTCCGCTTGGTTAAATTCATAGGGGATGTTCCACCCTAGAGCACCGAACTTGCGCCTCTCCTGGACGGTGGAGTGCAGGAAAGCCACTGCATACAACATGGGCTTCCACTGGGCCCCAGAGCTCACGTCGAGCAGGTCTTGGCTCACACCTGTTGTGGTCAGTCGGGTGAAAAATGTATCATCTCTCAAACATCTTCATTTTCTATTACTTTTATAAGTAATTAATCATGTTTGTAAATCCCTGATATTAAAATTCACTTACTTTGAATTATTTTTATGACACTCATGTGACAATAATAATTTAACTTTTGGGTGTCCAGAGGCCGTTTCTCTCTAAAAAGTCTTCAAAGAGACTTTGAGGAGGGATGGAGCTTGCTAACGTGAGTCAAGTTCCCACCAATCTAGCAAGATCACTTAGGGATAAAATCAAGATGGAAGGGTAATGACAGTTCAACTCTCCCACTATTACTATAACTGCCACTCTATTATTATTACTTATTATTATTATTGTTTGGGGCATACACTTGGGGCATATACTTTTAACTAATTTTATATTAATTAAAATAGTATATACAGAAGCCTACTGCACCTGAGTACATGCGCCAAATAATAATGATTGTTACATATGCATATACTAAATTGTCTACACAATTAAATTTATTTGATTTTCTTACTGCCATTATCCCTCTGCCTCTATTTTATCCCGACATTACCTTATAGATTGGCAGGAATTTGAGCCTTGTTAGCAACTCCCCAAAAATCTCTTTGCAGGTTTTCCAGATTGAAATATAATAATTGTATTTATTATGGTTATCAAATATATGATTTTAGTTACAGTTTATTTCAATTCTCCTAGAGAGATTCTGTTGTCCCTATTTTATACGTGAGAAAATTGAAACTCCTGTTATTTTAGTGACTCTCACCCAAGAGAACAAAGTATTTAGCAACAGCAAGGGCCAGAATCAGGATTTCTGACTGAAAGTTGAATGTTCATCTCATGACCACGAGTCCCATACAGAAAGCTATGAAGCAGAGGAAGCAACAGCCAAGAGCGAGTGCAACCTCAGCCTCAGTCATGATGGAGGCATCTGGCCATGAGTGTGCTGGCCCAAACCGGATTTTTAACTTAACTAACTTCTGACATATGGCCCTAATGAAAGGGAGGCAGGCCATCACTTTAATTCAGACTCTCCTCTCAGAAGAGACTACTGCACTACTTTAGGTACGGAGCATAAAAATCACAAATGACAAAATTGCTCATTTTTGATGTTAATTATGTCTAGCTGGAGAATATCATGGGCTTAACTAGAGCAGTACTGGGAAAAGAGGCAACTAGAAGGTGGGAATCATGAGCTCTGATGTGTTCACACTGCCAGGGCATATTCACAAAAGAGGACCATCACCTCCTCATCAGATTAAACAGTAGTACTCTTTGCTATAACTGTATCCTAACTAATCCTTTTATAATATTTTTTAAGAAAATAAGTACAGAAAACTCCTACAGACTCAGAAGTATTTCTGGACTCACCACCATACGTTCTTTTCAGTCCTGCCCGGAGGCCCTGTGGAGGATCGTTGGCAAATCTAATGGACATCTGAAGGAGTGTAATGGGAAACTGCGTGTGAACCTCTGTGGTCATCCAGAGGCGGAACGCATCATGCACAGTCTCAGTTTCTATGATGATGTCCATCAGCTCATCCATGAAATCAAGTCCCAGGTGGCAATTCTGCAGAAGTGCCCATCCTCCCTAAGTCAACAGCAGTAAACAGAAATTTTTGTGTTTCACCCAAATTCGAAATTACCACATTCTTTAGAAATTAAGTAATTAAAATTTAATAGAACGCCCTAACCACTTCAAATTAATCTAGATCAAAACTAAGAAAACAAAAATGTTTAACGGAGATAAGCTATTCTTTTTAAGTCCACGCATTTAGTCCATGCAGTATACATTAGTATGCAATTGTAGGAATACTTTATGGTTACAATCATGAATATAATCAAAGTTAAATATAAAAGGACTTCCGAGTAAAGATGGTTGATTGAAAACATCCATTTAACACAGATTCATCCCCAAATTCCACTGAAACTACAATGAAGAAAAATTTTAAAGGCATGAACTCTTAAGGACAATGACAGAATGAAGACATTATCACTAAGATTTAAAAGAGGGTCAAGAAAGTTGAATCCTAAGCTAGCATTTGGGGAAAGCTGAGACGCAACCTGATTTATAGCACATAACTCCCCAAATTCTCAAGAACGGAGGATACAAAGTATCACTGGAAGTAGGCTAAGACATTTGCTAAAAGAGGAAGACTGAAAGCCGAGGCCCCAACATGCTCCTGTCTGCCTTAATGAAAAATTAGAAGTTGATTTTCTACAGAAGGTAAAACAGACAGGGTCTAGACTGAAGGATTTCATCAGTGCATTGAGAGAATAGGTACCACACTGAAACCAGGTGAAAGAACGATTACCTGCTGAATTTTGAGACCTGCTACCACCTGCCTCCCACTAGTTCTCAGATCCTGGCAACAGAGCATACACCCTTTAGAATGTGGAAGAACTTTCCTTGGGAATCTGACCACACTAAGAGCAAGAGCCTTAGAAAATAATAAGCCATATCTTTTGCATGAATTATGTCATAAGTAGAAGAAGATCTTTGTGTAATGCAACTCAGGCAAAATTAGGGGTCATGTAATGATAATTTCCTCAATATCTAATCTATAAAATATTTTTGCTAAAATCATCTACAAGATCCAGATCATAATCTTGAGGTGTTTTTCTACAACCAGTTTTAGATCACTGACTAGAGAAGCATGAGTTGTCTTTCAAAAAAAAAAAAAAAAAAAAAAAAAAAAAAAAAAGTTTTATATAAAAAAAAAAAAAAAAAAAAAAAAAACACTAGATCTGAAGTCTTAGCAGAGATACACGTAAAACTGGTAATTTAGAGATTTCACATTTCCCTTATACTTTCTTCAGAAATCTGCAGTACTGCTGAATAAATTATCTTAATCTTTACCCTTTGAAAAATTCAATTAGCACCATCCACAATTCAAAACAGAAAGGAAATCCAATATAAAACACAGCAACAACAAAAAGACTTCAGTTTCTCTCTTTTATCCAGCATAGAAGTGAACCTAAGTTTCTTTTTTGTGTGTTTTGCTTTGTTTTGGTTTTTGAGAAAGGGTCTTGTTCTGTCACCCAGGCTGGAGTGCAGTGACTGCAGCCTCTACCTTCCCAGATCCAGTGATACTCCCACCTCAGCCTCCAAAGTAGATGGAACCTCAGGCACAGGCCACCACATCCAGTTAATTTTTTTCTTCGCAGAGATGGAGTCTCTCTATGTTGCCCAGACTGGTCTTGAACTCCTGGGCTCAAGCAATCCTTCTGCCTTCGCCTCCCAAAGTGCTACAATTACAGCTGTGAGGCATCGTGCCCAGGTGCTCTACGCTTCTTAGGTGAGAACTCTGATGTTCTATCTTCACCCACAGAATCCCATTTCTTTGGGATTGCCATTATCTGCATTCAATATTTTGTTTTCATCTTACTGAGTAGACCATCCACTTAGCTATTTTGGGGTAGTTGATTTATTTGGCACATTGCCTCAAAAGTTTTAATGCTAGCTTAAAATTATTTTTTAAAAAAACATGCTATTTTTTTAAAAAAAAATGGACATAAACAGCATGCATGTAAATTTAAACTCCTAATGATTTGTATTTTTTTCTGCATTGCTATTCCATAACCTGTAACATGAACAGCATGGCACAAAAGTAGACACTATCTTACATCAGCCATGGTCTGCTGCAAGAGCTTTCGAGCATGGACCTCCTGGCCCTGGCCCATGGACACATAACGGGTTTCTATTTTTAATCTCTTCCCCAAGGCAATGATGGAATCTGTTGGGTCTGAGCCCATAGACAGGAGACAGATGAGCGGCGTCCGAGGATCAGATTCCTCCCACGTCTTCTCCAAGTCTAGAATAACACTTTCAGCATATTTTTCTCCCATGGAGTCCACGATGTACCTGCGGGCCTGCCAAAAACAGTGTACAAGTCAGCAAAAGTCATTCCAACTCTTTCGTGTGGATAATGTAGTGTGGTTTCCAAAATTCATTTTTGCAATTATCCCAACAATGTCCACAGTAACCCTGTCAGGGAAACAGGATAGACTGTTTTTTCATATTTGTTTGTTTATATCCCCATTCTATAGGTGGGAACACTGTGTTGCTTTCCCAGTACAAAATCAGACAGTGAAAAAAAAAAACAAAGTTGTGTGACTCCTAGTCTGAAACCCATTTCAATATACTGGTCTGAAACCCATTTCAATATATTAGAAAATGAAAACACTTGGAAACTATTGTTTAGGATGCTTTAAGGCAAATATATATACATTTAAATAATCAAGTAAGCAACCCTATCCCTGGAATGTAATGGGTACTGATCAAATAGATAATTATTGAATGACTACTTGTATGAAATGTATTGGATATCTGTTGAATGAATGAATTAGTTTTTAAAGATTTAACCCATAACCTCTCTCCTCATCATTGCTGTCGACCCTTCTCATATTTGGCTCACCCCTTTACTGTTAATTTTGTTTTGAATGAAATCCATACTTGAAATATCACAGATTTTTGTCAACTTTATTACAACCATAGAAAAAACTTTTGGTAACAACAAGTCCTTTTTCAAATAAGGTAAAAGAGTTACAATTTATTTTTCAACTAATAAATTTAAAAAAAAATTTTATAAATTTTATAAAGGTTATAATTTATTTTTTGTAATACCATAATACATAATGGTATTATGAATATGACCCTTAGTCTATATTCTTTGCCTTCTAAATAATTAAATTGCCTCAAAAACATTTTTCCTCCTATTCTGATGCTCTTCTTTCACCTCCGATGGGTAAAACCCAAGCCTCTCTGCCCAGCAGCATTTCCCACAATAATCATTTTCACATAACCTAGGCAGGGGTGCAACATGGCCTGTAACTCTCCCAAGGACTAAGCAGGTGAGCTCCCCACTCCAATTCCCATAGAAACACAGAGCAGCTTCCGGTGGAGCTTCCCTTGAATCAGACAGGTTTCAGAGAGACCTGGACCAAAGGGGAGCTGGGGCTGGTTCAGTCATTATCTTTGACTTTAAAACATCAGAGTTTGATTTTCAGTCAGTAATGTGGGCTCATCCCTCATCTTCGATATCTTGCTATCCCCTATTCATCCTCAAAATGTACCCCAAGAATCTGAGCTTACAAATTAATTGGTGTGATGTTTCCCACTCATGTTTGCCCTCTTTGTAGGTTACAATGAGAGAGAAGTGGCCACCACAGAGGAATCTCCTGGCTTACTTACTATGTCCTCCCTTACCTTGTAAGAGAGGGGAAATGGATGCCAAATGAGTCTAGACTATTTAATGACTGGCTTGATCTCCTACTTTCTGATTCCACCTGGTGTGTGGAGACTTCTCAAACAAACTTCATCATTCATATAGCCAGGTAAAGGGTCTCTGAAAATCAGTAGTCATGAAATGTCCGTCTTCCTCATGAGAATGCAAAACACAAAAAGGTGAGCGTTCCCATTCCCTAACTCACAGCAGCTAATTCAGAAGGAGCTGGGCCTTTTTACCGTGGCTCTCCTCTCCTTCTTTTAAAATCATAATCCCTCCTCATACTGCCAGTTCCCCCATACCAATGGCAGATTAAAAGGCATGCCAATTTTGTAACACAGGATTTCCTGCCTTAGAAACTATTTCTAGATGGCTTTGGGGAAAGGCCTCTGCCTGGTTTCCCAAAGGTCCAAGAAGAGGTGGTCAGGCCCTCCCTGGCAGGGCTTGGCCACCTGCAATGAAATGACCAAACAGTATCTGAGCCCCCCACTCACAGAGAGGCTCACCCTTCCTTCCTCTTTACTCAATGCTGTCCACAGTAACCCTGTCAGGGAAACAAGACGGAGACTATTTTTTTCATATTTGTTTGTTTATATTTCCATTCTATAGGTGGGAAGACTGTTGCTTTCCCAGTACAAAATCAGACAGTTAAAAAAACCAAAGTTGTACTAGTTGTCCTAGTTCACTGGCTGGGAGAAGTTCTGAGGAGGTGGATTTCAGTCCAATTGGATTTGAGGCATAGGCATATTTATTTCCATACTTCTCAATACATTATCTAGGTTGGGCAGATCCAATATCTCAGTCTCTAACTTGTATATAAATACCTACATATTTTTCTGGAGCCTCTGGCAGGTGTTTAATAAGTTTGCCTGACATGTTCTTTGACTTCCCCAAATGCCTACTCCATGTACATATTTAGCCACAGCCACTGAAGCAGGGAGCCTTGTGATCAGGAAGGACTTCAAAGGCTGGACACTGAGGTGTTCCACAGTTGCAGCTGTTTCTCAGCCACATGTACCTCCATCACTGCGGCATCTCTATAGCGCAACTCATCAAGATTCATGTACTTTCCACCCCAGAGTAGTGAGGGGCTCAACATGGCCAATTCCACCATATAACTCAGCATTGGCCTGGTACGGATATTACCATCCAGGCCATGAGTTAACATGCTAGAATACTAATGGGCCAGATGGTAAATATTTTAGGCTTTGGTGGTCAAATTATCTCTGTTGCAACTATTCAACTCTGCCATTGTGGCACAAAAGCAGTCACAGACACACAAATAAAAAGCATGCTATGTTCCAATAAAATGTTAGAGACACCAAAATGTGAATGTTATATAATTTTTACATGCCACAAAATATTAGTGTTCTGGCGATTTTTTTCAGGCATTTGAAAATATAATTCTTAAGTCACTAGCTGAACATAAACAGACAGTGGGCCAAATGTTGTTGGCGGGCCCTAGTTTGCCAACCTCTGGAATGGTAACAAAAGGGAAGGCTGCTTCACTTATATCTGGGGAAAGGACCTTTGGTCATAATTCCAGTTCCTGGAGAAGGGACATTCTTAAATAAGGTCACAGTCATGGCTCAAACTGGCTCCAAGCCTAAAGGTTATAATGAGTCTTGGGTGCAAACATGTGATATGCAAGGATGCTCAGCAATCCCAGGGGAGGCCTCACTGCAGGAGGCATGGATCTGAAACCACACACGCATGCTTTAGAAAGAGTACATTTCTTCATCTTCTTTACTTCAACTTCAACCCAACACCCTGCATTATCTCACTGGGCCAGCAGGACAATAATTCTAGGCATTACTCTCTCTCCCCATCTTCCCAAAGTCTTGGGAGCCCATCCCTTGCACCAGCGTGCCCTGGAGGCAGGCCATGAGTCAAAGGAAATTATTTCAGAGATTCAAGATGTCAGGACTGCCTGCTGGGTTTCAGACTTGTATAGGGCCTACAATCCCTTTCTTTTGTCCAGTTTCTCCCTTTTGAAATGGTAATGTTTACCCAATGCCTAACTACCAGTGTATCTTAGGAGTAAATAATTTGTTTTGATTTTACAGGCTCATAGGTGGGAGGAGATGAGTCTTGGAGAGACTTGGGACTCTGTACTTGATGCTGTAACAAGTTAAGACTTTGGGGGATGGTTAGGAAGAGATGATTATATTTTGCAATGTGAGAAGGACATGAGATTTGAGGGGCCATGGAATAATATAGTTTGAATGTTTGCCCCCTTCAAATCTCACATTGAAATGTAATCCCCAGTGATGGAGGTGGGGTCTGGCAGGAGGTGTTTGGGTCACGGAGGTGAGTCCTTCATGAATGGTTTGGTGCTGTACCCATGAGAGTGGGTGAGCTCTTGAAAGATCTGGTTGTTTGTAAGTGTGCAGCATCTCCCCACCCTCTCTGCTCCCGCTCCCGCCATGGGACATGCCAGCTCCTCCTTCACCTCTACCATGATTGAAAGTTTCCTGAAGCCTCACGAGAAGCTGAGCAGATGCCAGTCCCATGCTTCTTGTAAAACCTGTGGAACTATGAGCCAATTAAACTTCTTTTATTTATTTATTTATTTATTTATTATTCATTTATTTTGAGATGGAGTCTTGCTCTGTCACTCAGGCTGGAATGTAGTGGCACAATCTCAGCTCATTGTAACCTTCGCCTCCTGGGTTCAAGTGATTCTCCTGCCTCAGCCTCCCAAGTAGCTGGGATTACAGGCTCCTGGCACCATGCCCAGCTAATTTTTTGTATTTTTAGTAGAGACAGGGTTTCATCATATTGGCCAGGCTGGTCTCAAACTCCTGACATTGTGATTCACCTGCCTTGGCCTCCCAAACTGCTGAGATTAGAGGCATAAGCCACCACGCCCAGCCTTATAACTCTTTTCTTTATAAATTACCCAGTCTCAGGCATTTATTTATAGCAATGCAAAAACTGACTAACAAACCATGTTAGATAATTCACATCCTACAACAGATATAAACCTCGGTCCATGACCCCCTCCTCTGGCTCAGGCAGTGCAACAGATTTTAGGAATAGAGCGGTAAACAAACGGCCCAGTCCTTATGAAGCTTGCCCCCCCACCTCCATGCCAAGATGAGACATACCTTGAGCAAGTAATAGCAAAATAACTAGTTTGAAAGATTTACGACTTGCAGGGTGATATGAAAGCATGGAACCGATTAATGTTGCAGGCATATATCAGAGAAGGTTTCCTTGTGAAAGAAGCATTTAAGCTGTTGCTTGGATGATGAGTGGGATTTATTGAGGCAAAGAGGACAGCTAAGTGGGTCAGAGAATGTGCATTCTCTGCAGAAGGAACATACGCAGAGACCGTGAAGCAGAAAAGAGCAAGTCACTGGCTGCGGACAGAAGGACACCCAGAATAACTCATGTAAGAGTCAATTCAGGTGTGGCAAGCCAGACTTCTGTACAGCCTATCAACCTTTAAAGAAAGCCAACACCCCCCTGGCATGAGTGGAAATGGAAAGCTGCATTTTCCCACATTGCTCTTCACACAACTCTGCAGAACTTGTTAGTCCCAATATCTGGTCCCAGTGCAGCAGATTCAGCCTGTGCCAACCTCCTTTTGTTGAGGGTATCTTTTTTTTTTTTTTTTGAGACAGAGTCTCCCCCTGTCGCCCAGGCTGGAGTGCAGGGGCACGATCTCAGCTCACTGCAACCTCCACTTTCTGGGTTCAAGCGATTCTCCTGCCTCAGCCTCCTGAGTAGCTGGTATTACAGATGCCCGCCACCACACCGGGCTAATTTTTGTATTTTTAGTAGAGACAGCGTTTCACCATGTTGGCCACGCTGGTCTCAAACTACTGGCCTCATGATTAGCCACCACGACCTCCCAAAGTGCTGGGATTACAGGTGTGAGCCACCACGCCCTGCCTGTTAAAGATTTTTAAGACACAAATGTGTACCTCTAAGGAGACACACTCTGACAGTGCAGCATTTTTGCAGTCAGGCATCCCCAGATGTGGATAGTCACACTGAGTCAAAATGCAGAGAATAAGAAATGCATATAGCCTGATGCTGCCTTTGGGGAATGGGATTGAATGTATCTACATTGTAGACCTTCTAATATGCTTCCCAAAAAGTTGTCAGATTGAAAATCACAAAAGGATTCTAAAAGGAGAATAAGAACTTGAGAGGAGAGAACATTTATCCAACAGGACCTCTAAACCTTGTTTAGGATGTGGGCATCATAAGGGCCATGGGAAGATACTGATACCGTAGGACTTGAAAAGCCAATGAATGGCACCATCTTGCATTTCTTGTAACGTGTGAAGGGTAGACTAGAGCGTAAAAGAAGAAACGTAGGAGAACAGGTAGGAGGCCATGGCTGTGATAAACCCAGGGATCAGAGAAGCTGGGACGAAGACAAAGTTAAAAAAAGAGAGTTACTTAAATTTCAGCATTGAAACAAATTTAGTTTTCTGTGGAAAAAGATCAGAAAGAGACTACTCAAACATTTCTTTCCACACTGTCCTTAAATAAGGCAACTATTTGACAATTCAGTTGGGCAGGATAAAAGTAATGAAACTGAGAAGAAAAGTTGAAAGGAAGAGTGATCTCAGTGCCCCGAATTATGAAACTCATTTTTCTCTTCTCAATAAATCATTGAATCTGGTTGTTTTCATGATTCCACAGTACCTAGGTGGACTTGGAGGTAGTAACTCCATAAGTTTTTAACGCTCCCTCTGGAGAACGAAGGAGAAAATGTCTTATATTCTATTATAAACCCAAGGCTATTGCTACTCCACAGCTTATTTGGAAAAGCCCTTAAGGAGTCAACCTGGGCTGAATACTAGAGTGAAACTTTTCATCATAAAGGCAAGACACAAGTCCTTTGAGTGGGCAAAGTCCCATGATACTAAGCCAGCAAACTAAAGATCTTTAAATAGATGAATCATCTGGAGGCAGGATTCACGTTTAAGACATATGTAAAATTCAATTGTAAGACAAACTACTGACATCTAGAGCTGTGACATTTTCTGAGGAAATGACTACAGTTTGGGCACACTGTCACTCCCCCAGCCTACTCTTCACCCTAATGCCTTTACGTTCTTCCTGCTTTAAGAAACATTGTTATACTACTAGCAAAATGAAGCAGCCATATAACTTTCAATTGAATATAAAATGATATAAAAGAATAATGCATTACCTTCATATTATACCTATATGCCAACCTAAGAATCATGGTTTTCTCATTTACTTTTATAATAGCCGTTGGGTCAGAAAAAGTTACTAAATCACTTAGCCCAAATGTATATCTCTGTACATTTACTTGTTGTTTACTTTTCCATTTTTCACACAAATTGCTAGAAAATCACGCAGAAGCCTACAAGAAAATTCTCATTGAAATTCACATTTAAATTTTTTTTAATTTAAAATAAATTCTCTTTAAAAATATTCTCTCAATTTTCTCTTTAATATAGACTTTTTACCTGGGCAATGGTTCTGTCAGGACACCAGGATCTAATAAGGAGAAGGCGTCCGAAGCAGTCAAGAGATTTGCCATAGGCATTTGGAAAAGGTTCCTCTTCTGGGTTTTCCTTATCAAACCAGATTTTCCACATTTTCTCATTTCTTGATATCTGAAAAAAACACGGGACAAAAAAATGTATCATGCTACCCAACAATCTTTCAATAATAGGTCATAGATATTTTTCATCAAATCTCTGACCACTCCAGATATGTGTAAATTATATTCCTTGGCTATTTATTTTATTTTATATTATAGTACCAAAAAATTTGATAGTCTAAAATCAAATGTGATTTGCTCCAAAGTCAGTCCATATTAACATCAGCCTACAGCTAGCTTTCAACATAGGGAGAGTCCTGGGATGTTTAATTTCTTCTACGCCTTTGTGGTAACAAATTTGTAAAGAATACAACAAAATCAATGGAAACTCATTTTCATTATGTCAACGAAGTCTGATTTGCTCCACAAAATCTTCTCATGTCAGGAACCAAATCTCATTCACTTATGTTTCCTCATTTCCCAGGACCACTCCTGACACAAAAAAAAGGCATTTAATACATGTTTATTATTGAATGAACAGCTTTTTGATCAATACTCTATTAATCTAGAGTAATTGGTAATATGCCAGTTAATATCAACAGATGAATGACCAGACACCTGCTCCCTCAGGCAACTGTGAAAGAGTAAAAGGGCACAGTACATTATCCTCTGGAGCTTAAAACGCCAAAGATAGGCAGGAATTACATGGTAAGCAGATCAGAAACACCAAACAAACAATGTCTGCAGATAAATATCATCTTATGTTCTCTGATATATTTCCTTTCATTAAGGGCTCAAATGTGTTTCCTGGGATATAATCAAAGGCAAATCATTCCAGGTTCATATTTAGCAAGTACTATGTAAGAATAAAAAATGGTAACTTCTTTCAATCATGAAGGACTACTTAATATTGAGGGATTTCATGCATAAGATATCATCTCCAGAAAGTAGCAACTTCAACATCAATGGTCTGGGCAAGGCCACTGGGGATTACCCTCTTGGGGAATAACCCAGAATGGTTTGTAGCCCCAAGTACATGCTAGTAATAATAAACAACACGAGTTATAAGCCAAAACATAAAAGTATAGCAGAACATAAGCAACTGGTCAAATTAAACTGGGGAAGTCAAGAACTAACTTTAAGACACTTCCTGGTCAAAAAAAAAAAAAAAAGCTTCAACTTGTAAATGAATAAAGCCACCCTGCTGCCAACCTCATTTCTCTATGGTCACCTGATTTTCAAGAACCTGTTTCTTGGCTTGTCCCAATTCAATTTTCTACACCCAACTTCCATGATTCCAGCACATGCACAATTCATCAGAGCTGGTTGATTCTAGAAGGATGAAAGCTTCTAAAGATAAAAGGCCAAGTGTTTGCATGAGATTCATACCCAGGTGCCTAAATCAGAAATGAGAAGGGCAGGAGAGGAAGAAGAAGAAGAGGGAGAGAAACAAAAGGCAAGAACGGAAATTGAGCAATCAGAGGCAGGCTGTTCATATGTCTTTTCATTTAACCTCTAGAAAGAAGGAAAAGCCTTTTTAAGTCTATCTAATTATTTAATCTAACTGGATCTATCAGTTTTTCTACTTGTGGACCTTTGATTGGTGATACTAACATCTGGCCCAGGATGGCACTAAAGTTCCTGGGCATATTTCTTCCTGCAATACCATCCTACAAAGAATGGAGTATGCATTATCAGAGTGTAGGTGAGCTTTGAGGAAGGTCAAGCACATGTAACGCCATTTTAAGAGTGACAATGAGAGACTGGACAGGGAGAATGTGGCACATATACACCATGGAATACTATGCAGCCATAAAAAACGATGAGTTCGTGTCCTTTGTAGGGACTTGGATGAATCTGGAAGCCATCATTCTCAGCAAACTGACACAAGAACAGAAAGCCAAACACCGCATGTTCTCACTCATAGGTAGGTGTTGAACAATGAGAACATGTGGACTCAGGGAAAGGAGCATCACACACTGGGGGCAGTTGGTGGGGGTAGGGAAGAGACAGCAGGGAGTGGGGAGGGAGGGGAGGGTGGGGAGGGATAACATGGGGAGAAATGCCAGATATAGTATGCACCTAAAGTTAAATAAATAAATTTTAAAAAGAAAAAGAAATGTTCATTAAAAAAGTTAAAAAAAAAAGAGTGACAATATTAAGAACTCTCTCTCCTCCACAAATATTGTAGAAATCAGAAAGCTGCTCAACATAACATTAGCTTAAGTTGATTTAAAGTACAGTTACCTGATCAAGGATATCTGAAAATTGTCTAAGTTTGCTAAGTTCTACCAAATTCAGCCAAGTCATGTCCAGGATCCATTTTGATGGTTTTGGAGGACAGGTTTTAAGGTCTAATGAGGCACCACCTTTAAAATTAAACATAAAATTATCATATTTTCCTTTCTTCAATGTAAAACTATCTACTTAGCAAAAATTTTTATCAAATTATTTTAATTTCAATTATTTTAATACTTTGACTTTTTTAAGCATAGAAATATAAATAATAGTAAAAACATGCAACATTTAGTACATCAATACATAATTTTAGAAAAACCCATTTAAATCATCAGTAATACAACTCTGGAACCAGGAAGATGCTCGATTCTGTCATAGCTCTGCCTACAAAAAGTCTGAGACAAGTCTTTTCATTTGTCTGGGTCTCTAATTCCTAATATGTAAAATCAAACCTGTGTCATGATGTATGTGTGTAAAGCACACAAAACAGGATAGAGGACATGGCAGGGGTCACTAACTGAGCAGCAATTGTCAATATTAAGAATTTTTCAATGTTAGCACAAACTAATGTTCAAGAGATATCTAGAAATGTTAGTAGTACTACATGTATCTGAAGGATTCTCTTTTATAAATCAGTGTATTACTTACATCCACCTTGAACACACCCCAAGGATTCCCATGCCATGTCACTTATGTCTGTGGTCATACCATAAGCTAACGACAACAAACATTTCCATTTGTTACTGGCCCTTACCTTTTTGCTGACGATTTACCAAAGCTCATGTAACTCATACAGCTGACAGCAATGTAAGATAAATGATACCTTAAAAATGTTTTTGTTGCCCACTTCAGAAAAATTGAATGTGTGAGTAACCAAATTTTAAGAAAGAGTTAGGCAGACTTCTCTAGGATAAAATATACTGTTTAATAAGTAATATCTATTAAAGAATATCAAGGAAGATATGCTCTATGCATTATTCTTTTTTTTTTTTTTTT